GTCCGCGTTTCCAAAGCTCAAAATGCTCTGTTCCACGTTGTGATGTCATGAAGCAGTACTTTTCAGTAGTTTCATGTAGCAGTAGTTTTCAAGTTGACAGCTTCTTTTTAGCTTTTGTTTGGTAAACATTGACAATTGCAGGGCTGGAAATTTGGCTACGTCCACACAACAATGCTCCTGAATTTTTTATTTTTTTTATCCACACACATCGGATCAATATATATTTGCGTCCAGAGGTCAAAGGAGCACTGAGTGGAAACGATGTAATTCATATGCCTCACCTATATGTGGTGCTGTTAACATGATACAGCCAGAGCCACTGGACACACAATACTCTAAAGTCTACTACATAAAGTTGTTAAAGTTCAGAAAGTACCAGGATTCTCTTCTGGTCACGTGGCAATGACGGGGTCGCGACGACATCGTTTTGCAAAAGCTGCGGTTTGCTTGTCCACACGACAACACAACGCCAGCATTCTCAGATTTCTCCACTCTGGAACCCGTTTTCACCCACCCGAAATGCCAGTCCGTGTGGACGAAAGGCCAAAAGAATAAAAACTTCACAGTTTCGACCAAAAAAACGTTGTGTGGACACCACCTAAGTGAAGGTGTATGGAGTTTAACCACATTTTAAACACAGTGGAGTACTTTCTGTATTACCATATGACATCACAAGGTGGAATAGAGTGTTTTTGGTTTGAGAGAAAACTAAATGTGCAGGATTTGTGCGTTAAACATGTGTAAAAGTAACAAAAAACAACTCTAAATATCCCACAGTGCAATAATAACGCAAGTTCATGTTCATTTAAAGGTCCTGTGTTACATAAAATTAAATGCAGGATGTTTAAAATCTTAAAACAAGCATTCTTACTGTAATCTGGGTCACCTTTCCGCTTGCCTGACCAGCCAGTCCCTTGTACATTCTGTTCAAATCCAGAAGAGTCTCGGATCATAGAGCGTAAAAAACCTTTGTCCTAACTTGAGTAAATGCAGAAGACATCTCCTCTCAAAAATTCCCCTAATATTACAATAAAATAAACAATAAAATATATAACCTCTTTACCTGAGATAAGTAACAGTTTAGAGCTTTACTTATTGATTTTGTAGAAATCTATTCGTCTGATTGCTTAATCTGCATCTTTGTGTGTATCAGAATCACACTCTTTGACACAGTTTTGATAAAGTGTGTGTTCCGGCTGGTTAGGTAGCCTTTCCACTGATCTGACTTGTAACTTGTCCTGTAGGTATCATCTTCTTGTCTACATGGAGATAAATATGTTTAAGTAAATAACCCAGTAGGACCCAACTCTAGATTTGTATTTCGCATGATTCCTGTGTACACCTTAACCCCTGTTTGTGATTATTCCAAAAATGCTTTCTGCATGTTGGGTCAGAAATGTCACATTGTTAGTTGCTATGTTGAAATTCCACAATGAAGAGGCGTTTTAACTTTTAATTTTGTTCTTTACACTGCACAGAAAGTAAAAACATTATCTACGTGGGTTATAATTTAATACTAAATAGTCAGATCTTGCACATTGCATCGAATCAGACAATTAGACAATGTGGGTGAAACGTCTTGCCTAAGGACACAACCGTTTTTGACTTACAAGCTGCAAAGGTTGTAAATTATGTCAAAATATCTTTAAAATGCACATATAAATACTCCACATTCTAATTCTTTCTTTTTTACTATGATTTTACTATTATTTTTATTTGCATCTTGTACGTGAAGGATGGTAATTGTGACTTAAGGTACCCTCTGTGTCGATAAATAGAAAAATAAACACATAAAATGACCAAGACCACAGGTATGTATGTAAATTTAAAAAAAAAGGACAGTCATGACTTAAAATAGTAAAAAATCATTTATTTCTACAAAGAACCAGGTGATAAGTAAAACTATAAAATGGCCAATATTAATAAAATCTACTAAAATAAGAACAAAACCTTGCAGCCCCCAGCCCTACAAATTAACCAAACAAGGACGATTTGAGAGGCGGAAACTCCACCTAGAACAAAACAGAAAGTGCTACCATGCAATCACACCAAAATAACTTAAAAACCCAAAGTGCAAACACAAAAGTACGGGCAAAACCCCTCCCAAGTACAACCTGGCAACTTAAACCAACTAGAACTAAAAGCTAAAAGTCCAGGTACGGCAACAATAAAAAAACATGTTTAATTACAGCTGCAGTAGAGCTAAAATATGATATAACTTTAAGCAAACAATATAAAACAAACTGAACCCAAAAACACAACCTAAACACACAACAAAACAAACAAAAACAACGCAAAACAGTAAAAGAAAACAGTGCAAAACAGTAGCAGACCAAATCCTTAAAAGCTCCAATATTCGGCGAAGAAAAGGTCCACCTTCAGTATACTTTAGCTCTAAAACAATAGTTAAGAACCCATTAAAAACTATTTAAAAGAGCTAAAATAAGTAAAAGGAAGGAGATCGTTAAAATCCTACCTGAAAGCCAGCAGAAGTCGGGACTGAGGCTTTGCTGCGTGCATTTGGTGTCAGGTAAATCTAAAACTTAAGTGCGCCTCTTGCTGCCTGTCACATAATGTTATTTCTTTGACTGGAATGCTTAAAATTGTATTTATGTAGCTAGCATTTGGTTCAGTATCTTGAAAAACATGCATTTTTACTGTGAGCGGGGTCGCCTCTCCACAGATCTGACCTCTGACTGGCCTGGTAGAATTATTTGCATGGTTTGTTGCTTCGTTTGTGGAACAAGCCAAGCAAGCGGCAAAACCTTTACCCAAAAAACTCCTCTGATTTTGACGTAGCCTATGTCTTTCTAATCACAACATATTTTTCTATCATATTTTGAGTCCAAATCACATTCTTTCTGAGATATTTTCATTCAATTGTCAATCTTCGGCTCAAAGGTGCTAGGTGAATCTCTTTGTAAAACGCGCGGTTGGTCGACCAGGCTCCAGATCACACGATCCACATTAAAGACCAAAATGTGCTGGGAAAGAAAGTTTGTATTCCAGAGGCATTGGGAGGTGAGCCCTGTAGCCAGCCCCATGAATGTATTACGAAGCAGCCACCATGTTTTATTCATCTGGTACACCGCATTTTCCCTGTGTAATATTGAAGAAATCGCACAAGCTGTAGACAAAATAAGCCAACCCCACGGCGTAATAATGCGCTAGTTCTCGTTTATTTTAGGTTTTATATTACACAAAATTGACTCTTGTGAGCTTTAAGTCGTGTTACAATACTGTTACCTCCCCAAAACATACCTGGAGTTGTGTTTTGTTTTCATTTACACATCCTTTGAGTAATCTTTTATTATTTGTCTGTCTACATCACCAAAGCTCAAAACGGACTGTTCCATCTAGTGATGTCATGAAGTGATACTTTTCAAGTTAACAATTAGATGGGCAATTGCAGGGCTGAAATTATCCAAGTGATTCTGTTGAAGATGCATGGAGTTTAAAGTGTTTTCAGTTTCAGGGTTTGTGTGTTAGTGCTGGGTGGATGTAACAAAACGCAACTATGTATGTTTGTGATGAGGAAACAACATGGTCCCACGGTCATGGAAATCCTGGAAAAGTCATGGAAATTGAAAATGCCATTTGCCAGGCCTGAAAAAGTCGTGAAATTTTGTAAATTCAATGAAAGTTTTGGAAAAGTCATGGTATTTTAGTATTTCTTTCACGTAACTACAGCGTTCTGTTGAGTTCTCATTAGACTATTATGATTATTTCCGAACATATGCACCTTTTGTTTAAGAAAGACGACAATAAATGCAGTACTGACAGTAATGTGAATGTTAAAAACTATAATACCAAATCATAAGGTGAGTGGAAAGGGTTAACATTTCACATTTAGCCCTAAAAGTCTGATCAATTCTACACATGCAGGTGCCGTAAAGTCATGGAAAATTCATGTTAGATCATGAAAATTCATGGAAAAGTTTCAGTGAAAAAGAGTGGGAACTCTGTTACAGAGATCGGAAAATAGCATAATATTGGCACTTTAAAGTCATAAACTGCAGGTCTGTGGTAAATGTAATGTTATTTCAGACTGACTGGTCATAGCCTGAAATGTCACGAAGCTAAAGTGGTCATCTAAAGCAGGGTGAGAGTCTGAATGTTCTGCAGAGGTTAATAACGTGGCTACAAGTAAACAGGCCTTAAGGCACTTAAGAGAAATACTCACAGTTTATTGCAAAATGTGTTCATGTTATATTGACATTCTGAATGGTTACTGATATAAAAGTACATATGAAAGGTTCTATATTACACAAAATGGATTCTTGTGAGGTTTAAGCCATGTTAGAATGTTGTTACCTCCTCAAAAACATATCTGAAGGTGTGATTTGTTCCATTCACATGTTTGAGTAACTCTTTATTCACTGCAAAAAACAAAATCTATCCAAGTTAAGGTGACTTGAATTAAGAAAGCTTTATCAAGATTTTTGTAAATTTCACTTGAAAAGTAAAATCTGCCAGCGGAACAAAACTTACGCACTTAAAATATGAAAATACACCTTACTACACTTAAAGTAAGAAAAACAACAACAAAATCTAATGTTGCTTGAATTAAGAAAAAAAACAAACACTTATTTCATTGGTAGATAATTTTGCTTGTCAAGTTGAATCTACTCAAATAAAGAAAAATGATTTATCTTGTTAAATTATAATGACTTAAATTATAGCTGTTGTTTTTTTCAGTTTTATTAGTCTGTCTACATCTCCAGAGCTCAAAATGCTCTGTTCCACCTTGTGATGTCATGACGTGATAGTGTTCAAGTTAACAGCTCCTTTTTAAAAATCTTTTGTTCAGTTACGTTTGGCTGTTCCAGGGCAGGGATTATCCAAATTATTCTAGTTAAAATCTGTGAAAGTTGAAAAACACAGTGGAGCACTTCCTGAATTACTGCATGACATCACGAGGTGGAACAGTGTTTTCTGTCTCAGCCTAAATCTGCAGGGTTTAAACGTGTGTGAATGAAACAAATGAAAACTCCCTTTATGTTTGTAATGATGAAACAACATGAAAACACAGATCAGAAAATAGTGCCCTTTAACAATATAAGCACCTTTTTGTAGGTAATTCTCGTAAAGGGTCCACTGTGTGCTTGTCTCCATTGCTTTATCTGAAATGTTCCACGTTATGACATTAGACTAGCATAAAATCGAATAAATCCAAGATGTTTAATATCTTAAAACAAGCATTCCTACGGTAATCTGGGTCACCTTTCCACTTGCCTGACCAGCCAGTCCCTTGTACATTCTGTTCAAATCCAGAAGAGTCTCGGACCGTAGAGCGTGAAAAACCTCCGTCCTTGGGCAAATGCAGAAGACATCTCCCCACGAAAATGCAGAACAAAATATACGGCTTCTTTTACCTGAGATAAGAAACAGTTTTAGTGCTTTGCTTGTTGATTCTGTAGAAATCCATTAGTGTCTCTGATTGGTTGATTCGCCTGGCTGCAAGGAGAGAGACAGGATGTGCGTCCAGATCCACTCGATCTTTGTAAAGTTTTGTCAAAGTGTGGAATTCCAGCTGGCCAGGAACCATTCCACAGATCTGACTTGTCTACATGGAGATAATTTTAATGCCATTAGGACTCAACTCTTGACTCCACTGCTAAAACTACAAAAACAAAAGTATGTTTTTTTATGTTTCTGTTACACTGAAAATGTAGAAAAGCCTGCGTCCTTACTGTGAGTTGGCCTACATCTCCACAATCCTGACCTGACAAACCTTATTTGTTCTCTTCCTGTTTGTTTTCATGGAAATGTTGTTCCTTTGGCTATAATATTCCACAGTAGGGCATAAAGCATTGTTTCCAAAATACTAGGCCACGACACTTAGGTGGCCTAGATTATTTGGAGGGTCGCCTTGTCATGATCTGTGTGCAGGTCTGCAATAAACAGTTGTGTGACTGGATCTGTGACCTTATTGTCATTCTGGATAAGCATTTCATGACAATATCTTGTCCTCGGTAGGGCCAGTATTTCTGCTACATGTATGTGTGAATTGGGATTTTCTGTGCTCACAAAAATTAAGACAAAGCACAGAAACAAACTGAATGCTGCTGCGCTCTCTTCCTGCACCCCGGACTGAAACACACTACAAAAACGCAGACAGGCCCACTTATCTCATTAGAAATATTGAAATTTTAAGAATTGTTTTGTATAATTTTTAATCTTTTTTGTGATTACTTTATTGTCTATTTTGTTCCAATATTGTCCGGTTCAGTTGAATATTGAAAAGAAAAAGAAATGGGCTACATTTAATGTCCAAATGGGCGACTTATGGATCCTTTTATTGCTGGTTTAATTATTGTTTTTCATTGTTTAATAACTTGAGTAATACTAATTGTTCAGAGAGAAATGATCACACAGTCAACAATAAAATATCCTCATTAATGTTCAATAATGGTCAAGATATGGGCACTTGGAGACGTCGGCCTTCAGCCTAAATCCTTCAGATATGGGCTGATAGTCCATGTGTGCTTGTTATACCTCGTTATAAAGCTTAAACTGTCTATATTTTGTCCATTTAATCCAATTTACAGACAGATAAGTATCAGAATATGTCGTGCTGCATCAGTATTTATCTCTGGAGTAATTTGTCTGTGTCTGTGCCGTACTGCCTTAGGCCGACCTGCTGTCTTTAAATATGACCGTAAAGAGGCAGAATAACAATAAATGTAGCCTAAACAAACCCAATTAAAAATCCAGTAGAGCCAGACCTAAGTTTTATCATCAATTTATGATTTAGAGTGAATTTTTACATCACTGAATATATCAGCTTTATTATTGGCTATCGGCACCTCCAGCTCCCATTGTTTCGGTTTCTGTGTCCTATCGGCCGCAAAAAAATCCATATCGGTCGGGCCCTACTTTACAGTATTGATACTTTACAGTGATACTTTGCAGGCTGGGGGGTGTTCTACATGTCTGTGTATTAGCGGAATGTTCACCTGTTACCATAGAGACACAATATACATTAGGAGACACTGACACATTTTTTTTAGATCATCTGAAAACTCAAGAAAAAATACAAAATAGATTTAAACAATACATTTTCAGGAGCCTGTGATCAATACGAGTGTTCATGGTCCTGTTTAGATGTTTGATTTTCAACAAAAAGGTAAGAGTGACTAACTGAAAAATTGTTGGTTAATGCAAGCTTGTTACTAACTTTATTTGAGAGGGACTTGTTTAATGATACAAATCAGCTTGTTGCCTGTTGTAGTTCTAAGCAAGTCAGCTCTTTCTGGTCAGATTTAAATCCGCTCAAAAGTCAATGGCTGCTCCTCCTCAGCCTACTCCTCCAAAGAGCAGTGGATGAAAGTCCGAAGCGAGGTCTGGTGGAGCCGGATTGTCCAGATCGCGTCAGAAGAGCAACCCAACGAGCATGCGCTGAACGACCGGAATTATTTTTAAGAAGAATAAATGTTTACATCAGGGGTGTCAAACTCATTTTGGTCCGGGGGCCGTATCCAACCTAAAAAGGGGCCGGATCAGAAAACTCATGGCATATAAACCCCAAAAATAACAATAAGTTCAAATATTTGTGCAGAGAGACGCAAATCTATTACAGAAATATTTTTTAATTGATGAACTCTTTCTTTTACAAAATATTATAATATTATGAACAACTTGAAACTTTAAGGAAAATCCAATTTCAACACAATGTTTTAACCTTAACTTGTATGCAAATAGGAATAAGTCATTTTTTCTTGGAAAATTCTGCACTCGCCCTCCGCTTTTCTCATTTTTGACATTTCGCTGATGAGGGTGTCACGGTCAACAGTCAAAACGATCGTCCTTTAAGAGCGTTTGAAAATAGGCAAGTCTTCATTTGTGCTGCTCTGGTGGAGACGCACTGGAGACGCTGCAGCCCAGAAACAGGGCCAGATTAAAGGTCTTGGAGGGCCGGATCTGGCCCCAGGGCTGTATGTTTGACACCTGTGGTTTACATGATCAAAGGAATAAGATAATTTGGCTTTAAAACTGGAATAAACCACCTACTTACTTTGGAATTAAGTTTAATTCTGAATAATCATTGTCATTAGAAATTAAGTGTTTACATGGTCTTTTTAAAGCGGAATTCTTTTTTATTCAGAATTAAAGCTTAATACCATACTTGCTACATTTATATGAAAATCTATCTTCATGGAGACCAAACCAGTCCAAGTTACAGGTCAAATCTCTGGAGAGGCAACCCTGCTCACAGTCAGAATGCCTGTTTTTCTAGGTATTTTTGAGCTCTAAAACTACTTGTAATTAAATAAATGTAAGGTAGAGCTGTTTAAAGCCATACTGAGGAACGTTCCAGGCAGAGCTATGACATAATTATAGAAAAAAACAGGTGACAGACCACACAACCAAAAAGTTACACAGCACACCTTTAACCCAAATCTGAAGCTACAATCTCGACCTGAACAGCCAGCGATGCAAACTTAATGCGTAAAACCTGCAGTCAAAAAGTATTCAGATGATTTACCCAAAACGTTCCTTTATATTTTATACCCATAGTGCTGAAAATGCCAGTTGCCATGGTGATCCTCATAATAACTCACGGGGGAGAAGTGCAAATGTGTAGTTAGAGTGTCTAATTCCACTGATAAATGCCCACGGTCCATTGTGCTTGTAGTGACACTTCAGATTACCTGCACAAAACCATCAGGACTCGGTGAATAGGCTCAGAAGACAGCATTTCCATATTTAATCCGCTCTAAAGTCGTCCCGGCAACACTCTTTTAACATTTCCTGCCTCGGCGCGAGCATAAATGAGAAAGCCCTCGCTCTAACCCCACACGCGCTCATTTGGGAACTAATTATACTGTATATCATTTAGTTAGCAAAATCACCTTCGCTTAATGAACTTGGGTTAGACTTTTTAATTTCCTACTGTAGCCGTATTGTTTTCAGGATTCATAAGAATATCTGTTTGATTTAATCTTTGCTATTCATGAACTGCAAAGGGTGTAATAAAAATTGGAATATTGCGATAATGAAGCAGCTCCTCAGGCTGACAACAAGAGACTGTTCACCCATTCACACACAAAAACAAAACATTTCTCTGTCTGGAAGGTTCCACGCTATGTTATGAAGCTGCTCTACCTTACATTTATTCAATTACATGTGATTTTATAGCTCAAAATACCAAGAAAACAGGTATTCTGACTGTGAGTGGGGTTGCCTCTCCACAGATCTGACCTGTAACTTGGACTGGTTTGGTCTCCATGAAGATAGAAAGGTTTAATGCCATACTGTGAACCATTCCAGACACAGCAATAACATCTCCATGGGCGCTTGATGGACCCTCCATTACAAAAGTTAAACAATACACGACGAAAAGTACAGATACTGGGGCAAAAGATTACTCAAGTAAAAGTGTCACATTTACAAGGCCGGCTCTGGGTCAGCCACAAAAGGCTCGAGGTGAAGGTGGCATGCCTCCGCTGTGCCCACTGTGCCCTCTTGGGGACGGGGCTCCCTTCTCCCGGCGTGACTGTCGACCGGGGCAGGCTGTCCTCTGAGACGCCGGCCCGTGTACGCAGAAAAGTAAAGTTGCGCCGAATTTTTGCCAAAGTTGCCAGATTTTCAGTAGTAGTGAGTTACATTATCTTTACCTGAAAAAAGTAGTTAGGTTAAATTTGTGCATAATTTGTTCATTAATTTTTCCTATTTAAGATGGCCACCTGAAGCTCTCATTCTGTTTGCCTGACGAAGGCCTAGTGCCAAAACGTTGCACGGTTTGTCCTAATAAATCTCACAATTTGCAAGTAAGACGGTGTGCGGGATTTTTCTCCATGTTCATTCATTTTTCAAAATAAAACCAAAAATAATAAAACGAAAAGAAAAAAATGAATAAATAAATAAATAAAAAATTATCTTCATTATTTGTCTCCAAAACCAAAATGAAAAAACAAATAACGATTTGTTTTTCAGTTTTCAATTTTGTGTTCAAATGAATAATGGAAAAAAAAAGGATAACGGCTGTTTCCAGTTTCCATGACTTAAACTGCGATGCCAGACTCTTGTGCCGCATACAGACTGAACCAAGACTAAACCAAGATTAAATCAGGTCTAAATCAGGTCTAAATCAGGTCTAAACCAGGTCTAAACCAGGTCTAAACTAGGAGTAAAACTTTTTCAGTCCTGGTCTCAGTCTCGGTCTGGTCCTGGTCTCAGTCCCAGTTGTTTTTTTCGTTTTCTTATTTTTGGTTTTATTTTGAAAAACAAACAAACAAATAATACACGGATTACATTAACTGTAAAGCGTTACAAAGTACAATATTACAAAGTTACACCAAACACTGATTACAACATAATTCAGCATTTTTACAATAAAAATCTGCTCCCATCTGCATTCATTCATTTTGTATTACAGAATGCTGTGACGTCATCAGAAACCCCAAAATAACAATAGTTAAAAGTGCACTATGCTACGCTCCGGGGGGAGGGTCCGCCACCTGCCTGGAATATACCCCAGTATTCTATTAAACATTTCCATTCTGCATCATTCATTCAATTAAAGTTGTTTTTATTGATCGAAAAAACTTCAAATATACGCATTCGTACTGTGAGCGGGGTCACCTCTCCACAGATATGGCAAGGTGGTGTCACATACTTGTTCTCTATGCAGACACCACCAGAAAAGAAAATATATTGAAACTAGAAAGTCATTTGAGCATCTGTCAGTGCAGATCTTTCAACAGAAGCGTCCAATAAACTATTTTTATTGCGCTGTTTCTCACAACTTGAATGACAATGTACGTGTATTCTAATGTACACAATAATGTTATTCTAGTATTTACAATGATTACTTTAGAAGAAAAAAAAAAAAAAGGTGGTAAACCCCAGTCAGGCCTCTTTGACTTTTTAAAACGATGTAAGTGATAGGTGTTTAGAACAACCGAACTTGGAAACACGGCGGGTGAAGGGAGGCATGGAAAAAAAAAAGATCGTAATTACCTTTTTAGGAAGTGTTTGTCAACAATAAGTCAATTTCTCATTCCATTAGGCGAGCGGAGTGGGTGCGGGCGCGTTTGGGCGACAGCGGCAGTGATGAATGGGAGCGGAGTGCTGCTTTGCTTATCGCTCTTTTGTGGGACACATTCTTAAAACGCTCTTCTTATACCTCTCCTGGCAACGGAGGCGAGCCACTAAATCCGGTTCAGCTGTTGTCACGGCGTGCATTTGTTCTATTATCTGGCAACCCCCGCCGTCCAAGTGCAATGCGTTAGCCTCCGCGTAAATTAGCAGACATTAGCGGGGCCCGGGGTTGCGTTTCAATTCGTCATGTACAATATCTGCGAGCATTACGGCCCGCTGTACGAGACATGATGGAGAAGGAAAGCCTATACAAGGGTAATAAGGCAAATGTGCTTTTTATGAAATATATTACAAAAGACCTTCAGGGGGATTGTGCCGCGCCGGTGTAGCCTAATGGAATATAATCACGCTACCAAGACTCGCTTTTCTATAGGGAGAAAAAGTCTGGTGCCTCTTTTGTTAAATGTCATTTGACGTAGACTGATGATTGACGGGTGGAATAACCAATTGGAGAAACAAAGGGCGGGACTCAAGCTGGGCTGACGGCGACATAATGGAGTAAGTACTCTTGTCAGCAACCAGTAATATATACTTTGGGGGCACGAGGGCTAACATAGCGCATATTCTTTCTGCCGCAAAACTCAAATGTAAATGTGAGTATTCAGTGCAAAAGTACAGTGGCTCAGAGTGTTCCTCCACTGATTCAAAAGTTGGTGGTTCGAATCCCACTCTCAACATGAAAAGACAAGCACGTGAGATTTTCTGACTTTTGCCGGTCAAATGTTATGTTACAATAAAAATGTAATATCTTGGGCATATCATCACTGCAGACATGGCAGATGATGATGATATGTACAGACAGTGTAGGATGTTCTATGCTCAGGCAAATACTCTTATGCATAAGTTTGGTTTTTGTACAAATGATGTAAAGTTGTTAGTGTTTAAATCACAATTGTTCACCCTTGTACACAGCTCACCTCTGGACTAATTATGAAAAAGCCAGTTTGCAAAGACTGCAGGTGGCCTACAATGACTCTATACGGGTGCTTTTGAGGAGGCCACTATGGACGATGCCATGGAGATGTTTGTTACGGCACGAGTGAACACTTTGCAAGCTGCACTAAGAACTTTAATGTACAGTTTTATTTGCAGGATGAACAAATCGGACAATGAAATAATGTCTCTCACAAATATGAGATTCAGTGCAATATGTGGAGACACTGGTACGGTTGTCTTTTAAAAACTTAAATGTTTGTTGTTTGTTTGTAATGTCACTGTCCTTGTCAGTTTCAAAAATAGACCATGAGTCCGGAATAAAGATGATGAAAGAATGAAAAAAAAATGAATCAATGGTAGAGAAGCCAGATCCAGGTCGGCGGTGCAATTTCAGCTCCCACAGATGAATACTGTTATTGTGTCTGTATACCAAGGGTCCCCAACCCCCAGGCTGTGGACCGGTACCAGGAGCAAGGTCATTTGGTACTGGGCCACGAAAGCGCGAAAACCCCATTCCCATACACTGCGTGGATCAGAACTATACCTATCTTCTTGCATACGCCTCCGGTTCGTGAAAATATTGTCCCTAAGAGCGCCGCTGCAACCCCCATCCCCCCTGCAAAATACTGTCGGACATAAAACCGGTCTGTGCAAAAACGGTTGGGGACTATTGCTGTATACTCACCTTAATTTCATTTCACATTTTTTAATATCTCCATAATCAACTAAACTACTAAATAAAACTATATGTTTTTTTGGTTAAATCAATTCAATTTAGTTGTGCATTTCAGTTATTCCAGACACTTAATCCACATAGTTTGGAGACAAGATGGCGAGTGTAACCTAGGATAGCCATATTTATAGCCTCTGGGGGGAGGTTTTGGGCCAGACCATGTGGAGGGGAGAAATGGTTTCAGATCTTTTTTGTTTTATGGATTTTGTATATTTGATTTAGATGTTTCAGTGTTTATAGTTTATGTTAAGCACTTTAATGTAAAAGGATTTAGGCCCTTGTAGTAAAACTAATGTTTAACTTTAGAGAAACGTAAAGTTACATTAATATCTAACGAGTATGAGATTTTGTACTGACCTGGAGGAAGGTCCTTCCTGTGGGGGGAGCTATAAAAACAGTTCAGCCTCTCAGGAGGGTCACATCACTGTATCTGGGTACACATGGGTTTTTCTTAGTTTCATTAATTTCTGTTTTCTCACAGCTCCAATTTATTTCTCCACAAAGATGGTTCCAAAAACAGAGTAAAACTGCAAAACAGAAAAGAAAAGTACTCAGCACAGGGCAAAATGTAACTGAACTTAGCTTAACTACACAATCAATCCACTACCATACAAATACATAATGTTCAACAACAAAACACATTTCTAATAATTGTCCTTTACTAACAGGGCAAGGACATTATAATTCTTATCAGTATCAAGCAGAACTTACAGACAGTGAGGTCAAAGGCACAAACAAAAAGGCAGATGGCAGAAGATGAACTCATGTGCTACTCAGAGCAAACAAAACAAAAAAAATGGCTGACTTCCTGTTATAACTTCCTGTCTCTAATCAGGCCTTCAAAATAAAAGATGTGACAGAGGTAAATGCAATCTACTGCAAAAACAATTATACAGAACACATTTTTTAACATATTTAGGGCAAAACAATTACTTTTGCCTAATTTGAGCACGCTTATATATATATATATATATATATATATATATATATATATATATATACACACACACACACACACACACACACATATGTATTTTTTTCTCCATTTGTTTATTTATGTATTTATTTATTTTTCCGCAATACCACTGTGAATTTATGATGATTATTTTTTTTTTTTTCTTTTTTTGTCAAATGGAATATTTTCTGTGGCCGCCCCTGCTTGAGATCACATTGCTCAGCTTCCCCACAGTGTCCTTGAGCAAGGCACTCGCCCCATCCTATGTGTGAATGTGTGTTTGAATGGGCGAGTGGTTTCTTAATGTAAAGTGCTATGAGTGCCTTACCATAACATCTGCCCTTAGCTCAGGACATTTCCTCATTTCGTTTGTATAGAGGAGCGTCGGATGGGGGCCTGTGAAAACTTTTAAGAGCTTTAGCGTTGTAGCAGTGCAGAGACGGGGACGCACATCATGCCTCATCCGTGATCAGGACGTGGGAAAGAAACGTAAATTTGCACTTTGACGGACAGCTGTCGATGAAACTGAGGGGACGAAATAAGTCGTGGCACAACATTAGTTTGGTAAAAGTCTAAATCATACTCGTAACAAGTTGTCTACCATGTGTAACCCTATCAAATCCCTCGTGCAGATATTTTTATTTTTATTTTAGGTGCTTGTCTACATCACTGAAAGACGCATTTCATTATTGTAGGACACATGTGAAGTAAAGCCATCATACAACCATTGGGTTTGCATTTCTTCTTCATTCTTTAGGCCTCTTTGCTTTCCCTGGAACTCGCCTTCACCTCGCCTCCCGACAGTTATCGACCATATGCCGTATTTATAGGAAGCTTCTTCATAGCCCACTTGCCACTTAGGAGCCATGTGCATAAAGGTACATGGAAAAGCATTACCGTCTCCTTTATGTTGGTCACATCTCGGTCAGTCAGAAAGCCCTTCACAGTTGATTGTTGAACCCAAAATAAAACATTAATACTATTACAGACAAAGTATGAAATTTACATTGCACTCGAGGTGGGCTCTCTACGTAATAGATGATTAATTCTAAGGTGTAAGGTTCTAGGTGTAATTCTAGATGATGTAAAATGATAGTTACCACACATTAGAGAAAAAAAATAGTGTCATGTGTACATTCAGTGGCGGTTCTAGGATTTTTCTGAAACGGGCCATTAAGGGGCCAAGTACAGGGGATATCCAAGCACACAAATGATTCAGTACGGAGCAAATACAAGTTTAGACAGTAAAAAAGTCTACAAGTCTGTTTCTTCTCCACTTAAGTTGTATTGATGCAATATGTCTACTAGTGCCAAGAGTTTGGGGGTGGAATTGCGTCAGTGATCATTGAATTCTCCGATTGTTCTTCTCATCAGTTGATTGACAGACCAGGGGAATTTCAGGGGCCAATTGCCGAGAACTGCCCGAGTACATTCATAATACTTTCACATTCAAACCAAAAATCGGGCCAACATGGATCAGGAGTTAGCTGTAATAAGAATAGATTAGATTAGTTCCAGTATATCAGAGAATTTGGATGATATTATGTAGAGTTATGTAATTTATTGTCTATTTGGTTATTGAAATGTTAAGGGTAAAAATTTAATCTGATGTTTAAATAGGATGCCCATTCTACTGAGTGTCATTCCCGGACAATGGCTGAAAAAAGACGCTTTTGGAGTTCACACAAAGAAAGTGAATTATATACTTAAAAACAGATGGTCAAATGACATTGTTCAGTCTAGTCCAAGTGACAGTCAAGTCCAACTGAGACTGACACCTAATCTCAATGAAACTGATTTTGTCCCAAGTCCAACTACGCTTTTTCAAATGAGTCTGAGGTCCTAAAAGAACGTCTTCCTACAGGCAAATATTAACTTTTCTGATCTATATTATGTTGTTTCCTCATGAAAAACATTCCTGGAGTTGTGTTTTGTTTAATTCACACATGTTTAACACAAAAATCCTGCATATTTAGGCCGAGCTTTTCTCAAGATGAAGCCACTCTCTTCCACCTTGTGATGTCATGTGGTTATACAGGAGGTGCAGCAGAGCATTTTGAGGTTTGGAGATGTAGACAGACTAATAATAAACGGTTACTTAAAAGTGTGAATGAAACGAAACACAACTCTGGCTTTGATTTGATGAGGTTACAACATTCTGACGTGACTTACAGCTCACAAAAGTCAATTTTGCATAATATAGGACCTTTAAACAGAAATCATTAAAGCACAAATCACAAAATTTAACTATTATTGCTATGCTTGTCGGAATCGCAATTAAACCAATTTGTTCCGCCCAAACAAACATCACATCTCCAAATAATTTGAGCTTTCCAAAAACGCAGAAGTTGTTTTCATAACCTCCCCCTGCTTAAATCACTTTACAATTGTGGAATGAGCAGATATTGTAAATTCATGATGTAAAATTGCTCTGTTATGAGAGAACCGCCAGCACAGACTTCGGGTTCAAGATGTCTCCACGGCTGCAGGCTACCGCGAGTGCCATGTGCCGGGGTTGTAACGGCGGACACAGAGGTGCTTAAATGTCGTTTTTGAGGGAGAATACAAGTGTCTCTGAGTGTGAAGGCGCAGTTGGGCTAATATACTGTGTGCTGAACCTGCAGAGAATGGGGGCTCGCCACAGCTGCTGCCCTCCATAAAGCACAGTGCCATAAACTTTTCATAGAGTGCTTTTACGCCCACAGGCCCTCCGCTACACACTGTATATATTCAGCACGTAGCAACGGAATAGACTTGTTTCAAAGCAAGACAGTAAAATAAATGCCAAGATGGTGTAAAGTTCAGGATTGAGTTCTCTGCCCAACCTCGGCTCGGAACTTGTCTGCTGTGTTGGCTTAAATAATACGAGATAAGAGAGTAGAGAGGTCAGAGTGTTGTACGTTTGGCGAAAAGATTTATTGTGATGTGTCTGCTGTATAATTATGATCTATTACACCCATGGGTCATTATGTTATAATTTGCATATATTAAATTGTAATATTAGTCTAAAACAATGTAATAAATGAAACAAATCTGCTGACTTCCATGTTAGAAAACTGTGGTGCCCAATGGGAGCTGACATCGCCGTATAATTAAGGTTTACTCTCGACATACAGGTCATGATATCGATTCTGTTTCAATAAGTTTTAAGACATGACAAAAAATCACATAAGTCATAAATACTTTTTTTCTGCTCATGAGTATATCCATCCATCCATTTTCTTCCACTTATCTGGGGCTGGGTCACCCTGGAATAGACCTTACCGAGGAGGCTGAGGAGTGTGATTCCCCTGCAGTTGGGACACATCCTCCGGTCTCCCTTCTTAAACAGAGGGACTAGGTTCCTTTTAACACCGACCCATTCTCAAAAATAGACTTTTTGAGTTTATAAACTTAGGAGCCATAGAAGATGTATTTGGAGTTATTTGTGCATGTGCTCGGAGTATAGCCGCTGCTCCTCCATGTCGAGAGGAGCCAGCTGAGGTGGCTCGGGCTTCTGTTTCCGGATGCCTATTGGGTACCTTCCTCGGGAAGTATTCCGGGCATGTCCCACTGGAAGGAGGCCCCGGGGAAAACCCAAGACACGCTGGAGGGTCCATGTCTCTGGGCTGGCCTGGGAACGCCTCGGAGGAGCTAGAGGAAGTGTCTGGGGTGAAGGAAGTCTGGAAGTCCCTGCTTAGACTGCTGCCCCTGCAACCCCGGATAAGCAGAAAAAAATGGATGGATGGGTGTGTGATAAAGGCTTAAAGTAGTATGTCACCTTTTGGAGGTCAAACAATTTTTCCACAGAAACGAGCAGGAGATGGCCACCCCTATGTCAAATAAGAGTCAAGATTGTGGGGGATGCATGTTTTTTTCAGTGCAATAAAAAACTCTGCATATTTAGACTGAGCTCTCTCAAACAGAAAACCTTGTGATGTCATTTGGTAATAAAGAAAGTGCTCCACTGTGTTTTTAAACACCATATTACTTCACTAGAATCATTTGGATAATTTCAGCCCTGGAATTGCCAATCTCTACTGAACTAAAGGTAAAAGGTAACTTGAAAACTACCACTTCATGACATCACTTCAGCTTTAGAGATAGAGACACACTAATAATAAAGGATTATTGAAACATGTGACACAACTGTAGATACGTTTTGACAAGGTAACAACATTATAACATGGCTTAAAGCTCACAAGAGTCAGTTTTGCGTAATATTGTTCTGTCACTGAACTACTAAGCAACCAATTATCTGTGGAGAATACCTTGTAGGCTGCATGTTCACTGCACTCCTCAGTATAAGGTCATCGTCTTCATCTACGCTCGTCTATGTAAAATATCCAATGTTTTTTTTTCTCCGCTGCTTGATTTCTCCCATTACAATTACCAGGCTGATGGCGCACTTGTCAAACTGCATAAATTCACCAACCTCTTCCGATAAATGACCAAAAAAACTCATTAATTGCGCGCTCTTCTTTCCGTCTCCCATCGGGGGATCGGAGATGACGGCGAGATGAAGGATCCGTCAATGCGCCCGCACCTATTTGCCGTGTTGTCGTGGCTCAGATGATGAAAAACTCCTGGAAGGGCCCTAAATTGGAGGAAAAGTAATTCATTTTGCTTTTCTATCTGATAAAGCATCATACTTCATCAAGGTCATCCAGTCGGCGACACGCAGCAAAACGGATCTGACGGCGGTAATATTTTAACGTCTGACACGAAATAAGTCACTCAAAACACAACCATGCAAATGGGGGGATAGGGAGCTGGTGGTTCGGAGTCGCTCAGAGTGGACTGTCAACAGCGAAATGAGAGTCAGATTTTGATAACTTCACTGTTGCATTTGTTTTG